ACAAAGAATACAAGGTATGATCACGGCACATAAAACAATCGGCACGCCAACTCTACTCAGATTCCATTGTTTAAAATTTCTATAAAATTTGACCTTGTCGGCGCCATTATGGTTTCCTAGTCAGGGCCGGATTAAAACGTATTCAAAAATTTCTCAGAAAATACGACAGGGTCGTATTAAAAAAATACTGTAATTGACTGAAACTGAATTTTATTTACAATACTTTTGTCCAAACAAATGAATCGTTAACCGCGCATACTTCTCGAAAAGTAAAAATGAAAAAATCAATTAAATATTTCACTGTAGAGAATAGACAATTAAAATTAAAAAACATGCAACTAACAAAAACATGCCAGGAGTTACAAACAAGAATTAAAAAATACCAATAAAATATTTATTGAACAATATAAAGAGGCTACGTACAAATTATGCCCATCAATGGGCGTAGCAAATTTTATTAATATTCAAATTTCACAAATTAATAAATCCACAATTTTTTTTGAGAAACTTCTATTTTTTCATGGCAGGAAACAAAGTAGGTACCGCATTGTATTTTATACGGTTACAAAGTGAATTTGTAAACATTTTAAATTCAAAATGACCAGAACCCCCTTTCTGGGCCTTATTTATATCTTCAACCAAGTCTTCTCTATTAGATGCAATTGCCCATGTTCTTGCCCTAAAAATGTATTGTTAACTTGTTACTAATCTATTGTTATTTTCGATATACTCATTTTGTTTATTTTTATAATTTTATTTAAATTAATAATATAATTATTTTTAAATTTAATGTTGAATGTCTAGATACAACATTAAATTTTACTAAATATTTAACATTTTAATCTTGCTAATATTTTATATACATATAGGGTGAGTCTTGAATAAGTGCAAATATTTTCAGGGGTGGTATATTTCGACCCCAGGAACACGTTTATGAGTTTTTTTTCGCTAAAAAAGATATTGAAATGCATTTTCTTTTAACTTCCCTGTATATTTTTCGAAAACTTTTTAGAACTGCCTGTTCACCGCAAATTTTCCCAGGGTATAATTTCTTAATCTCTGATATTACCATAGTTACGGCTTTACTCTATGGTTGCGGCACTAAAAGGGATGCAAATACAGAAAAAATCCGGTGGCTCTCAACTCAACATTTAAAAAAAAAAATTTTTAAACTTAAATAACTCGGTTATTTTGGATTTATCTGAAAAAGGAAGGAGAAAATATGTTTCTTTTATCGAGATCTGCCAGCCCTGAAAATATTTGCGCTTCTGTGGAACTTTCTTTTGTCTGCTTGTCATGTATTTAAATGGACCAACGCACATTAGAGGCGCGCCGCGGGATTTCCGTCAAGAAGTCGGAAGACTTCTCTAGCAACTTTTTTCCGTCTCCGCCGTTTTGGCGCGTTGCAGTGTGCGTACTCACATTGGAAATAATTTTGCATTCGAGTCTTTTCAGTTGGCTTTTTGACTAGGAACTAGTGATACGTATCAATGGTAGAATTGTATTTTTAAAGGTAAATTAGGCAAATCGATTTTCATAAAGGAATATGATATTTTTTAAGTCTTCCTCACTAAAGACAGATGGACGAAATGCCGTTCTATCAAAGATTTAATATAATTGAGGGGTGTAGAGGCAAAACCGGCAATCTCCACTTTTTAACAAAAGTGACAATCTTTTTCACCACATAACTAATATACACATCAGAATAAATAAGAATTATCAAAAGTATTAGTAATTTGTCTCTTCTGAAAAAATATGATGAGTAGAGATGCTCGGTGTTTTGCTTCTAAAACCCTCAATTGAGGAGTGCGTAAAATGTTTCCTTTATATTTTGTAATACTGAAAAAATGATCTTGTCTTTTATTAAATCTGGAAAAAGATGGTAAAATTCTCAAACTTCTTTCTTTTTTGTTATTCGTATGAGTCCAAACTTTTCCTCACCCCGTCTTCCTCTTCCTCTGTTAGAAGAGCACAAAAATACGCTTTCGTCCGTACTTTGAACTCATTGCTTTAAAAACTAAACTACAGTAAGTAAAAAACACTTCGACTATAACTAATAAATAGCGTTGCCGCGTTTCAAAAGCGCGCTATAGTGGGCGCAGTTCCTTCGCAGCCGGAAAAAATTATCTTCCCAGCGCCGCGCCGCGCAGCGGTCTAGTGGGCGACAACCCGCCTGCCGCCGTGTGATTTATATGCCGTGGTATGATATTGCACAGGTTGGTCATTACGTCACAGGTGATAAACGGCACCATTGATCGGCAAGCTCTGCGCGCCAATTTCAAATTGTCAAACAGATTGTGTCATCTGTGAAATTTGATTGTGTCAAAATGTGAAAATAATTTTTCAAATGTCAAGCTCGATGTCAAAACATAACTTATGGGGTTATGTCCTAATTCTTCCCTATTTTATGTCTTTTTTTTTTCCTTCAGTTTAATTTTAGGTCTTTTTTTATTGGTGGCAATTGGACAATATGGATATTTCTTTGTATGGCGTATGACGTCACAGGTGGTATGCGCAAACTTAACGAAATTGGAGCCGCTATCGAACATACCTTGTTTTCTGTGTACCATGGGCCGGGCTTTTATAGACTCCATAGCCATAGCGGTAGTCCATTGCCAATGATATGGCCCAGGACCGCGGTTCGGATTCCACGTAAACAAAGTAGGCCGCATGCGGCTATAAACCACATCTTTTTTGAATGCAATAAATTTCCCGCTTTAGTAGATAAACTATATAAATCACTTATTGGCTTTTATAAAACATCCCCTCATAATTTTACCTCCGCTTTGCATGCTCATCCAATTGTAGTTAATATTATAGGCGAATTCTTAGATAGTTGTGGAATTAATCTTTGACATTTTAAATGAAATTGTTATTAAATTTTGGTAAAGGTGTGGATCCGATGGCTGACCTTGAAGCCCATATTTGCTGCATTTGATCATCGATACTACGCAAGCGCACATGGTCGATGTTGCCAAATTGCAGTTTATTTTCGAATTATTTGCAGTTGAAAAATTTTTTTTGAGTGTAAATCAATTATAATACAAATTCTATAATTAATTTTATAATTTCAGATTTATCTTGATATCCAAAATTAAGGTAAGAAGGATAATGAAGATTGTAAAATGAAAGTATTATGAATATATAAAATTGTAATAATAATAACATTTATTTATATATTTACATTAGAATTAAAAATTATCATGTACGGATTTTTTCTTAATCGTTTTAAACTTATTAGAATTATTTTATTTCTTTCAAGTTATTTAATTTCTAGTTATTTACAGGCAACAATAGTTTTGATTATATGTATTGATGTTTTGAAATACCGTATGATCGAATAAAAACGGCGTCAACGATGGCTATGAAATGAAGATCGCTGTCATTTTATATGTAAAATTATACAGGGAATGGCATGGATCGTCATTTCCAAGCCAACTGGACGCCGTTTTTTTTCGATCATACGGTACTACCATGACGAGTCTTATAGAACAATACACGTCAATGGGAGATAGAGGTAACATCTTACCTATAATGTTACTAATATAATATACTTTGATTATAATGTTTGTATCATAATTTCTTAAAAATATCAAGTTAGTGGATTAATAGCAATTTTAGACATATATTTTATCGAAGAGTGTGTTGATAAGATTAAAATAAGCTTTATGTTTTATCTTTTTCTCTTTAGAAGGGAGATGGTTTGTGTGTAAGAATACATTACAGCATTTAATATCGTGTACTTTGACATTCTTTTCTTAATTTACTGTAATTTCTTGTTTGCTATAATGCCAAATCTTGACAATATGGTGAAGGTTGAGTTTTGATCTTATTAGTTTTATACCTGTGTTTATACAAGACCAAATTAAGATTAGTTTGTAATTAGTTTGTGATTTATATTAAGATCTTTCTTATAATATTTGTTATGTCTTAATCTTAATACTATATTATGCTTTGTCTGGAAAATAAATGTTAAAATATCTTAATTTTGCATATCCTATTCCATCCTTCCATTAGGAAAAATATGGTCTATAAATCATATTATGCTAAGAAAATCACATAAATTAGGTGTAAGAATAGAGAAATCTTAAGGTAGCAGAAAAAATAATGCAATATATGTATAAGCAGAATTAAACAAGGTAACTGTAAATGTTGCTGAAGCTGATTCTACAATTTTAATTACGGAGGCTAAAATGCCTTTTAAGGCCTCCGTAGTTTTGATGGAATGTTAAAAAAACTATTATGAACATGACATGGAGCTACAGCATTTAAAAATTAAAAAAAAAGAAAAAACTTGGACACATCCCTTTTAATTTCCCCAATTTTTGAATAAAGCACTTTTTAAACGTAGCATTATAATCTAGAGCAATTAGATTAATTATAGGAATCTAGAATTTTATTTCTATTTAATTTTATTGACTATGAAAATACATAATAAGCATTCACGTTTCATGTGTTGTGCGAAATATTAAAATAATAATAGAAATAATATACCGCGTAATATGATTGAAAAAATAGCGTCAGCGATGACTATGAAATGAAGATCGCAGTCATTTTATTTGGGAAATGTCCTCAATCGTCATTTCCTAGCCAACTAGACGCTGTTTATTCGATCATACTGTATATATTGACAAAACACACTGAAAAGCACATATTTGTTTTCTACTGAAAATAATTCCAAAATAACTTGCAATCTGGCAACATCGAAATGTGCGCCTGCGTAGTGTCTGTGACTATATACAGCAAAAACTCGTTTCAAGGTCAGCCACCGGATCCACACCATTACCTAAATTTGTTTATTTTGCAGGATCTTCCTTTGCCAACATTTTCTTCAACTCAACAGTCGGGATATGGGATTTCCCAGGCTCGCTTTATAGCGATCCTCGTCTGTGTGTCATCATCTATATAAACGCTCAACCGTAGGTACTGCGTAGGTAGTTAATTCTACCATCCGGCCGGATAGCCCTGGCAGCTGTGGCCATTAAACTAATATACTACTACGACTACTACTTTAACCCTACAAATAAAAACATAAATAAATAAGAAAAGTAACTTGGTATAAAAAACTAGTAATCATTTATTGAATAATGGACAACACAAAAGTCACACAATTACAGAACCAACTTGAAGTTGCCAGAAGAGAAATACACAACCTTAGGTAAATGTCCTTTTTAATTAATTTTCTTTTTAATTTATACCAATTTTTAGACAACAACTGTCCTCATTAAGCCATCTACATCAGAAAGAGATTAGAAATATTAATTTAGCATTAGAGAAATGGCAGTGTAGTGACTGCAAAAACAGAACTGAACAGGCAAGCTTTTCAAATACTGCTGCTAGTAGTGTCAGTGAGGATTTTACTTTTAAACCAATAGGTACAATTAGCACACATTTTCCGGAGAAAAGAGGCACACCTAGACAACCCGGTATATGTAAAGATACTGTTGCAAAGTTAACCTTAAACAAAGATGTCTTTACAAACCCATATCATGCTCTAGAAGGCCTTCAGGAATTTTCTCATATGTGGATATTATTTTACTTTCATAAAAATGATGTTACTCATATAAGAGCTAAAGTGGCTCCACCCCGACTTAATGGTATTAGAACCGGTGTATTTGCTACTAGATCTCCACACCGTCCTTGTGCAATAGGATTATCATTAGTAAAAATAGATAGAATTATGGATAATATTATTTATTTCAGTGGAGTTGATATGGTAGATATGACACCAGTTTTTGATATCAAGCCTTATATACCACAATATGACAACCCTGGACTGAGCACACATTTGGATTCTAGATTAAATGATGTAGGCAATAATGATGTGTCTGATTCTAACACTGGTTTGAGGAATAACCCATTGACTGAGCAAATTCATATTGATATACCTCAATCGCCAAACCAAGGTCATGAGTCAGAATTAGTTGTAAATGCTCCATCTCTTTCAGCAAGAGAAATGGATGGCCAAGAAAATGGTAGGGAGACACAAAGTTTAGAAACACCTGGGAGCAATGAATCTAGAACAGTAAACACATTCTACAGGTAAAACAATATTCAAATTTATATTGTATTTTGGTTCCAATTTCACATATTTTAGAGATAACTCACGTATAGGTGAAAGGGAAGCTCCTGATGGTGAAGAAGAAGAATCGCCACCAGGTGCACCCCAAAGAACTGCAGTATCTACAGCACCAAGCACATCTTCAGGTCATGTTAGAGTACCTTCTTGGATAGACCAAGCCCCAATTTCTAGACTGGATGTAAGTTTTAAGGACAGAGCTACAGCACAGTTGCAGGAATTGGGCACAGAAGTAATATGCTTTTAATTTATTAAGAAAAAAATATATAGTAATTTCTGCTGCTACAGGGTGAAGAGAAAAGAAAAATTATAACAAATGTATTGCAAGAAGATCCAAGATCAGTGTACTTGAGGGAAAGATGGGGTGGTCATTGTTATGTTTTTAGAATAGCTGAACTATATGTTTCATGCAAATTTAATGATACCACCCACTCAGTGATTGTTTACCAAATATTTCAAAATGAGAGGCAAGCTGAAGGCGACGAGTAATTATAATTACATTAATTTAAAAATTAGATTCAATATACTTATTATTATAGGACAAAGAAATATGATTTTAATATATTTTCAAATATGCATTTCTATAGATGTAGCTTTATAAATTGTATAATTTATAGCCAATTTTGTCAATTATTGTAGCACTGACCTAATAAAATCCATTTTTATTTTGAATAAAATTTTATTTACATTTAGTTATTCTATATACAGGTCATGATTTTATGTGATTAAAATTATACTCAAAAAAATGTGCACAAAAAAGACGATATTTTAGACAATATGGAATGTTAAAATAAATAGGAGTATGCAAAAATGATTAAATAATCAGGTGATGTTATGCATGGAGATGAAGTGATAATATAAATGTTTAATAAAAATACTGAATTAATACAAAGTTAAAAGTACATCTGTTAAGTAAAAAAGGAATTGTTACTGTATTAACTTAAAAAGCGTTAATATCATTACAGATACATAAACATATCATAAAAAAAACGTTCAAACAACAACCGCAATTTAGAAAATTCATAATAAAAAGAAATATTTCTTAAAGATAGAAAAAACAACAGAACTTATTAGAGTATTAAGAAACAGATTATATTAAACTGACTTCTACACATCCAAATAACGTCTACAACATTCTGATGTCATACATAGCCTATCCAGCAAGAAGATTTCAACAGATCACGTCCACAAAATGGGAATAGCAATCTACTTTCAAATAAAATTGTGGCAGATACACATCACTGTCGTATCTTCTTTAGCTGGAAAAACTATAGACAAAACAAGCGCACTTTTAAATATATTCCTTAAAAGTATATAAGGTCGAGATATTCAGTCAACATGTATTTATTTATTGCAGAAGCATTAAGGACAAATTCTATAAGTCAATAAGTTTCTGTATTAAAGTCAAGAGCAGAAAATGTTGCTATACAATAATAATGGTATACAATTATTTCTTATGCTTGATTTTAAACAATGACTAAAGAATATAAGGACATGTAACGCCCCTATACGGGCTGCAGCAGAATTTGTGACCTTAGACGCCTTTTCTTTTGGTGGCAAACAATGAGTCATCAGTTGGTCACCAGCGACAATTTTAGCAATTTTTAATAGTTCGTGTGTAGTGAACTTTGTATAAACTTTATTACAATGCTGATTAGTTGTTCAGCTTTCAAATGTAAAAGAAGCAGTGACAAGAAAGAGCCAGGAGTTACGTTTCATAGGTAAACAGTCCGCTCCACCTTTTTAGCGTTTTCTTAAGTTTTCTTATTGAATTCGATAATTATTTTTCTGATATTATATGTACTTGATGTGTGCTTACGTCGATACTAGTTTTGTACCTTTTGTCAACATTTTAATACGTTTTTTTCGTAATTAATTAGTATAATGCCATCGCCTACACCATAGGCGTAGTCAAAACATTTATCAAAAATATAAATATCCCTTCAACTAGCTAAGTTAAGAAAAAATATGGCCACGGCACTGTTTGGTGCCATGGTAACAATTTGCTCTGGGGTGTTATTTGTCCTTGAATTCTTTAGTCATTGACTTTAAATATATAAAAAAAACTTTGGCAACAATAGATTTTCTCAGCATATTTTTGTTTGGAAGCATAAACCTAAAAGTTTTGGTATTAAAAGTGAGCAATTTTATTTTCATTCATTGTATTAGACTATTTATTTATATAACATCGGTCGTTTTGAGAATTCGTTTTCAATTTTGGAAGCTGTTGAAAATTCTTTTTTAATTTACTTCAAAGCTACAATTCCAGCGTATTTTTACAGACTAATGCAAGAGCATTTTCCTCTAAAGTAAGAAAAATAGAGTTATAAATATACACTTTACAGCTACTAAATATTACAGATCAACGTATCATAGGCCTTTTGATTTTTTTGAAATAAAGGACAAGCTAACTGCGTAGGATAGTGATTACAAGCTTTATGTATTGTGGAAAAATAGAATTTATATAAAATATAACATTACACGACAAACAAATCCATCGAAGGTTTATTCGACTTCTAAACTTTTTAACACTTTTTGTCATAAAAAATCACCGTGCATTCTCTGGTTTAAACTCTAATCTGCAACACTTATCATGAAGGTCTATTTTTTTTATATATGTTTATAATTAGTAATTTTGGTATCTAATAAGACACAAGTCGATTTATTTTTCACTGGATTGCATTCAAAGTATACTTTGGCCACAAACTATTTACAAGATGCTATTTCTCCTTTTGACAACAAAAAAATACTTCGTTTTTTATACAGGGTGGCGCCTCCCATACGCCGCGGAAGCTCCAAGGAGAACAGTAGCTTATATCAAAATGAAATTTTGGCAGCATATGTAGGTTAACTGAAAGCATTTTATAAAAATATATAGAATTATACAGGGTGTCCCTAAAAAAAGTTACACATCAAAGTTGTGTTTTTTTCTAATGGAACACCCTATATATTAATTGATTTTCGGATTCTAGGAAAAAAAATAAAGGTGAGTTTTATTAAAGAAGCATATACCTTAAATCTAAGGATTTTGACATATTTTAAATTTTGTGAAAATGAAGAGTAAATTTTTTTTAAATTTCGATAACAGCTACCTACATTTTAGTTGACCTTGTATAGCCTAATATTTAATTACAGTAACCATTGTATGTTAAACCAAATTGAAATTTGACCCGAAAAGTTATACAGGGTGAGACAAAATTAATATGGAACATTAGTCACTTTTAAAAGCAAGTTACTCTTTTATATATCCCCAGTATATTTTTCGGGTGTTCAATGGGCAATTTATACATATATCTTGAAAATATTATTAAGGTTGCCTCAAACAAAGGTTTTCCTAGATATTTTAATTTTTATGATTTTGCGTCAGTAGATCTTTATTATTTGAAAAAATCTAGAGGTGGCTGTGATATACCTTTTAATTTAACAAAAATTTAAGATTGTAGAGTAAAATACTCAACGGTAATAAAAAGATAAACGGTTAAAATATATTTTAATTATTACACAATTAAAACTAGATATAAACATATAATTAATAAATAATAATAATAAATAATGTGAGATAACTTAATCTAGATGAAATCAAATGCTCAAAATGCTTCCTTTCCTGTTAACTGCATAAAATGATTGTCTTTTCCAAAGGATTTTTTCATTTTAAAAGGCATATGTGGAGTTCTACCTCGAATAGCAGTAATAATTTCTCTCATGTTGTCGACAATAGTTGATCGAGTTTTTTAAACACTGTCTTATTAACATATTCCCATAAAAAAACCAGACTAGATAAAATCAGGAGCATTTAAGTATTCAATTAATTGGTGAATGCACACTGCATTCACCAACTAATATAATTATGTCAATTCTCTCTGATGTAGGATAAGTTTGCATTTTTGGCAAATTTCTGAAAATTTTTTTTGTTTTAACTGACACAAAATGATAACTAGTTGTTAAAGTTGGACTAATTAGACAGCTATGTTGAAGTAACGTCAGACATATCACAGCCACCTAGATTTTATCAAATAATAAAGATCTACTCAGATCAAATCATGTAAATGAAAATATCTAGGAAAATATTTGTTTGAGGGGTAGGCAACCTTAATAGTATTTTGAAGAGACATGAATTCTCCATTGAATATCGGAATAATATACTGGGTGTTCCATTTAAAATAAAAGAGTAAGATGCTTTTAAAGGTGACCAATGTTCAATATTAATTTTGTCTCACCCTGTATAACTTTTTGGATCAAGTTTTAATTTGATTGAAAGTATAATAGTTAATGTAACTACATAATAGGCTATACTGGGTAAATTCCAATTTAGGTAGCTATTATTGTAATTTAAAAATTGTTCTTTATTTCGAGAAAATGTTAAATATGTCAAAAACCTTACATTTTAAAGTACGTCTACAATCTGCTGGATCTGTGTCTATGAAAAGAATGCGGACAAAAAACATTTAAATAAACAGCAATATATTTTATACGTCGACTTGACGAGTACGTCACCGCAAATCGTTCCGCCCACTCATTTTATTGGTTTCTTGCAAATTTGTCGAATTTTTATTGATGGAACGCGTCGTCTAATTTTTTACGAAAAACATCGAGAGAATATCGTTTCCCCTCTCACGGATGCCCCGTAGCTACAGAACGGACAGACGTACTGTAGTCATATACTTCTGTTATAAAACTCAGCTTTATTTTTCTTCCAGAATACGGAAATCAATTAATATATAGGGTATTCCATTACAAAAAACACAACTTTGATATGTAACTTTTTTTGGGGACACCCTGTAGAACTCTCTATATTTTTAAAAACTGCTTTGAATTAACCTGCATATGCTCACAAAATTTCATTTTAATACAAACTGTCGTTCTCCTTGGAGTCTCCGCGGCGTATGAAAGGCGCCAACCTGTACAAGTATGTACCTATTTGTAGCACCAAAATATGTTATTTAAAACTAGGTACTTATAATTAGTAAAAAATACTATAATTACTAAAACTAAGTAGATAGGTTTAAACCAAACTACCTGCCAGATAATTTTTTAACTCTTCATAATACGTGGCCAAAATAACCTTCAAAACCCAACAAGAAAGGCAAACATAATATAGTCTTTTAAATAAGTACAAATATTTTAAGGGGTGGTACATTTGGAGAGATGAATAAGATTTCCTATTTGCAATTTTTAAAATAAACTGACAACAACCGGGCAATTTAAGTATGAAATTTTAAAAAAATAATGCTTACATTTTGAGAACCGCCTGCATCAATCGACATGATCGACATTCAGCGGTGCGATTTTCTAAACATATTTTCTTTCTAGTGACTCATCAATCGTATATAAATAGCATAAGCTAGGCAGGAAATTTCTTGCTACGGAGCTTACAGAACACCATTGCAGGCTGTCGCTGTTTTATCATTGCAATCGACTCTCAGCTTTTTCAACGTCCAATGTGGCCACACTACTTGTGTACTTAAAAATAAGTAGTGTGCAGTTTTCTAGAATTATCAGAATGTACGAATGTACACTGCGAGTACTTTGAAAAACCATCAAGAAATTTCAGCTGAAAGAACATGCGACCCTAAAAGTCTTTTAATTTTCCCAGAAAACGTAAAAAATATTTTATTCTCAAAAAACTTCATTTCTGCGATCCAAATATACTACCATATAAAAAAATACT